AAATGTTTTCATTTGTTTGCTCTTTACTAGTTGTGAAAAAAATCTCCCAATGTAGCTGATACTGAAATAAATCAGCGTGGCCACTCTTCAGGTGACATGGCTGACCATATTTGGTCTGTGCTCTTCCTGACCTCACGAGGACAGGCGATAGCTACTTCCAGTTGGTGACAGTGATCTGTGAGGATGCTGGCCTACCTCAGTGAATAGACAGGGTTAGGAGTCAGTGAAGTGTGGAGAGGCAGCAAAGACAGTGGGGAGGAAAGCTTCACACCCAGGTACAAAGTCTACCCGACCTTGTGCTTGCTGCAAATTGCTTATCACCAAATGTTAAATCTCATGAGTCTTAGTTAGGGCTCTTGGTAGAAAGTAACAGAAGTCCAACTCCTATTAGCTTAAGCAAAAAGGAGACTTTATTATGAAGATTCTACAGTATATGAAGGGAAACAAGGAGAGAAGCAGAGCTGACCTAGGATTGAAAGCAGGCCCTCAAATGCTATCAAAACTTGTGTTTTTCCTTCCTGCAACATTCTCTCTCTTTCTACAGACTTACTTCCTCTGTGGCTCTAGTTGGCTTAATGGAACAACACCTCACATGTTTTGTAAATAACTGTGCAGCCACCCAAAAGAGTCTAGTCTCACTTTCTCCAGTTCCAGAATTCTCATGGAAGGAATGATTGGTCCAGCTTGGGTCAGTTTCCTTTTTTCTGATTACCAGTTAGCGATGATAAAAGATAAAAACTGGTCATACCAATATGGTCCATCCACCATAACTACACACACTTGTAAAGGGGCAAAACCACAGGTAAGGGATTGCAGAAACAGGCATGGATGGACCACTTGACAAGAAACACTGTTCACATTCAGCCCTACGCTGCGTCCTGGCCATTCCCAGTTTCCTCATCATGTGACCAGAGATCCAGGCTGTCTCTGTGCTCAGTGCCCCCTCCCTCTTCATGCTGGGCGGACCCTAGCCCTAAACAAGCTCACTCCGGCATCACATAGTGGAAATGATACAGGCTTTAGAACTACATGACCTTGAGTTAAAGCCCAAGCCCACCACTTACTAGCTGTATGACACTGGCCATGTTACTTAGCCTCCCTGAGCCTTGGGTTCTTTATCTATAAAATAACACATTTCTAAAGGGGTTGTTGTAAGACTAAGGAAAATAAAGTGACCATATTTTAAATATTTGGCATTTAATAGGTTCTCAGTTACATCAATTTCATTTTCTAATTAGGTTACCTAAAAATCTTGAGGAGGGTGGGGGAGTGATGGTAAGAGAAAAGAGAGGACAAGAGAAGTGACAGGATTTTTATATCTGGGAAGTGTCCTTCTGCCTCCGGTAATTTACAGTTATCCTGAGCAGACATTAAATAATTTAAGTGGGTCAGCTGCACTGGGAAAGCCACACTTTGATAGATACAGCCTCTCACTTTAGAGGCCAAGCAACGAGGATCTCAAGATCAGTGGTGAAAAGTTAAGCTCTTGTCAGTCACATCTTTTGCAAATATTTCCTCTCATTCCATAGGTTGTCTTTTTGTTTTGCTTATAGTTTCCTTTGCTGTGCAAAAGCTTGTAAGTTTAATTAGGTCCCATTTGTTAATTTTTGCTCTTATTTCTATTGCCTGGGTAGACTGCCCTAGGAGAACATTGCTGAGATTTATTTATGTCAGAGAGTGTTTTGCCTATGTTTTCTTCTAGGAGGGTTATAGTGTCTTGTTGAGTCTTTAAGGCATTTTGAGTTTATGTTTGTGTATGGTGTGAGGGAGTGTTCTAACTTCACTGATTTACACGCGGCTGTCCAGTTTTCCCAACACCGTTTGCTGAAGACACTGTCTGCTCCATTATATGTTCTTGCCTCCCTTGTCGAAGATGAATTGACCGTAGGTCTGCGGGTTTATTTATGGGCTGTCTATTCTAAAGATCAGTGGATGAAAGTTTTCTGTTTCTTACTAACTTACTGGTGTGACTGTATGGTCCTTAAGGCTTTCTCTATAATGTCTAATGTTAATAGAACAGTCTAATCACTGAA